AAGAAGAAGAAGAAGAAGAAGAAGAAGAAGAAGAAGAAGAAAAAGAAGAAGAAGAAGAAGAAGAAGAAGAAGAAGAAGAAGAAGAAAAAGAAGAAGAAGAAGAAGAAGAAGAAGAAGAAGAAGAAGAAGAAAAAGAAAAAGAAGAAGAAGAAAAAGATATCTCTTTGGACAAAGGCGAAAAATCTCGGAGAACCCGTGTTCACGTTGCGCACGTTAAAGAGCCCTTTGTGGTCCAAAATCGATAAGAGTAGACTTCGGCCGCCACCCATGCAAAATTCAAAATGTCCTACCAACTGAAAAGGTTTAGTGTGTCCTGCGCGCTTATATGCCCTTATGCAGTTGCGAACGCCGTAAAATATGTACCAGTAAAAAAAGACAGAGGCAGAGAAACACCCTTCTCGCGGTTCACGGTATCTTTCCCTGAAACCATTCAACAGTTTCTCAAGAAGGTCGATGGGCACTCATAAGGTCAAAGTTCACGTCTAAAAGGGGGCTGACTTTCCTTTGAAGTACCCGAAGCGTGCTGTGAACACGATTTGAAGACGTTAAGGGGATGTTCCAATTGTAAATCTTTTCCGTGAGAAACACTGCTACCCTGCCAGCCACTCCCTGATAAAGACTGGTCAGAGAAATATCCAGGATTGTTGAGAGAGAGATAAAGGTTATAAAATGTTAATATTATATAAGAACAACAGATTATATATTGTTAATATTGTATAAGAACAAAAGATTATAATGTTAATTTTGTATAAGAACAAAATGTTGTAAAATGTTAAAATTGTAGAAGAACAAAAGTTATATAGTTTTTTCAGATCAAATGTACACATAGGAAATACAAATGTCACATAGCAAGTTCAAATGCCGCATAGAAAGTTTCACGTCACATAGAACGTTCAAATGTACAATAGGAAATTTTAGTGCACAATTGTGCGTAGCAAATTCAAATGTACAAATAGCAAAGCCAAATGTAGCACAATAGCAAGTTTAAATGTAACACAATAGCAAGTTCAAATGTAACACAATAGCAAGTTTAAATGCCACATAGCAAAAGCAAATACCCTCCACAAAGATTATTCAGCGTGAAAAGCATTTTGATGCACTCAAACTGAGTTGACGACAACCATAAGCAGTTTAATTTTAAGGTGAATTGATCACCATTTAAAAAATCCCAAGGATGCCCCCGCGGAAAGAAATGCAGATAGGAATGAAGCAATTAGACATCAATATGCAGCATGGGTGATGCAGAACATTTAACGGTATGAATTTGCCTTCATCGATGAGGCTGGTATCAAGCAGTTAACGAAGAGAAACTGATGTAGAGCTCGGAGTGTTCAATGCTTTGTTCGAGTAATGCAGGGTAGAAGGGGACCGAACCGCACGATGCCATAGGGGCCTAATTTGCTGTCAGTGACGAGGGTAGCCTGGTCTTTCACGACATTCAAGTAGAAGGAATGGCAGCTTTCGTTTCAACCCATCCCTCTAAGAAACTTTTCCAACAATCTCCACAACGAAGTATGCTTCGTATGTAACAACGCTCGTGCACAAAGGCAGGCTTGAAATGGCAACTCATCAATAGATTGGAGAAAAAATATGT